GGTTTCATACAAATTCAATAATAAAATATTTGGTGGTGTTTTGTGATTTCTTTTTCACTTAGCACAGTGCTTTCAAGGTTCATCCATGTTGTAGCATCTGTTTGACTGATACAATTCCATTGTATGAGTTGATGGACATTTGAGTTGTTTCCACTTTTTGACGCTTATGAATAATAATCTATAAAAATCTGTCTGCAAGTTTTTGTGTACACCTGTGTTTTCCTTTTCTAGGAGTAGAATTGTTGGGTCAAATGTAAATCTTAAGTTTAAACATTTTAGGAATTACCAAATTATTTTCCAAAGAGGCTATACCAGTTTACATTCCTAGCAGCAGTGTATGATGGTCATTTGTCAATTGTACTTACCTTTTATACTTGACATAAATTATTAAGATTCATAAAGGTCGTCTCTTAGTTGGAAGGGCATAGTTGACTTCATATATGGTATATTGATCTATGAATTTAAATGTGACTCAAAATAGGAGCATACCTGTTGTTCTAGTTACCTGGTGCCACTCTTGACAGGAATATACCACAAATGGGATGTCTTGAAGAAACAGGAGTTTATTCTCTTACAGTTTGGAGGCTTAAGTCTGAGTTCAAAGTGCTAGGCTCTAGGGGCTGGATGAAAGCCCCTCAGCCTTGGGCTTCAACTCTGCCTCCTGTTCCTGGCCCACTGGAGCTAGAGACTTTTTTCTACTCAGACAGCTGCTGCTGGCTGCTGAGATTGACAAGCCCAAAACTGACAAGTAAAAAGGGCACAGTCCGATGTTACCAAACCACACGGCAGGCCATTAATTCAAGTCCATTGAAAGTCCCAAGGTTGGCAGGGCATGGCAGGCTGCTGAACAATGACACGGCTACATACAGGGTTCGAGTGTGACATAAGCTAGAGACCATTCCCAAAGCTGTTTCTTATATACGGGAAGCAGATCATATTCCTAAAGCAGCTACTCAGTTATTTGTGGTAGGTCCCACCATGGAGTTGATTGGCAAGCTCATCATGGGGAATAACTAACACCAGCTGCCCAGCCATTCAACTGGGCCCAGCCAAATTGACACACAAACTAAACCAACACACCGATTGCTGTCAAACTGATTCCAACTCACAGCGACCCTATAGGACAGAGTAGAACTAAATTCTAAGGTTGTACATATTTGTGGAACTAGATTGCCACAATGGAGTAGCTGATGGGTTTGAACCACCAACCTTTTGGTTTGTAGCCAAGCCCTGGGCCATCAGAGCTCCTACAATATGAACATAATAAGTAGTAAAATAATAGAAGAATGTGTAAATCTGAATGGGTAGAAGGAACAGGAGAATGTTTTTAAAAGAAACTAATCAGGAAATGTTAACTAAATACAATAAAAGGTTACATGTATGCTAAAAGACTTGAAAGCAAAGACTCAAATAGATACCTTGTACACCAGTGTTCATTGCAGCAATATCACAGTAGCCAAAAGGTGGATACAACCCAAGTGTATGTCAAAAGATGAATAAACAAAATGTGGTATGTACATAAAAGGGAATATCATTCAGCCATTTAAGAATTCTGATGCATGCTATGACATGATAAAACATTATGCTGAATGAAATGAGCTAGATACAAAAGGACAAATACTATATAATCCCACTTAAATGAAATATCTAGAATAGGCAAATGCATAGAAGCAAAAGTGTGTGTTAGTGATTACCAAGGGATTGGGGAAAAGGAAAAGGAAAAGGGAATTACAGCTTAATGGTACTGAATTTCTGTTTGGGATGATAAAGAAGTTTTAGAAATAAGGAGTGGTGATTATTGTACAACATTCTGACTATAATGCCACTGAGTTGCATACTTAAGATGGTTAAAGTGGCAAATATTTTATTGTATAAAGTGTTACATATAAAACGAAATGGACTACATGTAAATGAGTTAACATGTAAAATGAGGTGAATGGTGAATAAGACCAAATATAAAACAAAAACCCAATACCATCTAGTTGATTTTGACTCATAGTGACCTTGTAGGACAGAATAGAACTGCCCTGTAGGATTTTTAAGGCTGAAACCTTTATGGAGACAGACTTGCCACATCTTTCACCTGCAGAGTGCTGGTGGGTTTGAACCACTGACGTTTTAATTGGCATCTGAGCACTTTAACCACTGTCCCACTAGGGCTTGCTAGACCAAGTAGAACCTATTATATTATGTGAGTGGATAGAATTCTAATGGGCTTTGATTGGACTAATAGTCTGTCATATTTTGTGAGAAAAGGCTCAGACAAAGTAACAATATAATAATCATAAATACAACAATGGCCGTATTTCTGTCTGACAAAAGTGGAATTTAAAGTCAGAAACATGAAGTATATAAGCAGGCTTAACTTTACATAGTGTCAATATGCACAATTTTTAGTTAACCCTAGTTTAATACCAGTCTCCCAACAACACTTTAAATTTTACTTACCGTGGTATATTAATTGAGTAATAGCATAAAGACAGACTTTGCTGCTAACTCTTAAGTTCACAAATCACTTTGTTAACTTCTTTCAGTCTGCTGGTGATTGGTCACTGTTCATCTGTTACTCATTTCTTGCACAGAAAGGAAAATGTAGCTTTGTTGCCTCCTTGTCTCCCAATGATACACCTACATGACATTTTACAGTCTTAAATGAGAGAGGCCAGTGAAGGTAAAAGTACGTGCAGCAAAGAAACAGAATGACACTGGAAGTGAAATTTGAATCACATGTAAATATTAGAGAATAAATAGCTAATTCATGTAAATGTAGACAAAGGACACTAGATACCCTGTCAGAGGAACTTGGTGAAGTCAGATTTATCAACATGGGTGGAAGGGTAGTGATTGAAAAGGATGAAGCTACTGCCAGGGAAAGTGAAAGTTGTGAAAACCTTCATATTAAAGGAACTTAACAAAAATACTTAACAACATTGAAAGCACAGAGGATAAATGCTGAAATGTGATCCAAACTTAGAAAGGAATAATGACAATCTGCCAAGGTGTAGAAAAAAATACTCATACCATAGAAATTTTGTGATAAGAAGGCAAGCACTGTTCAGTTGTTGATTGTTCTTTTCAAAAGGACGTGAAACTCTAATCTCGGTGATCCTGATGTTTTAAATTACAATGTGCTAAACACTAGTTTTGCTATATTTTTCATTTTTCTGTACATATATAACTCAGTAATAAAAGTTTTATTATTTTGACCTTTTTCAAGACCATGGAACAATCATGATTTCTCCGCTGATTATTAAGATTGTCTCGTACTGCCACACAAAGTGAAGACTACCTGATTTGTGATAAAACTCATCCATGTACAAAATTGAACTGTCTCAAATATTTATATAGCAGATAGGATCATGCTAGGTTTTTTCTTTTTTTTGATTGCTTTTAGATTTAGGGTCATATTTTTAAAACATTCCACATTGAAGTTTTTAACATTTTTCTGTCATTAAGTACTTTCAAAGTCCTCCCTCCCCACTTCATAAAGTTCCCCTTACCACCAATTTTGAGTCCTTTGGGATCTTGACATGTAGATTAGAGCTTAACTAACCTAACTAGTTGCCATACAGTCTATGCTGACTCATGGTGAACCCTGTGTGTAGAGTAGAACTGTACTCCGTAGGGTTTTCAGTGGCTGATTTTTTGAGAAGTAGACATTTTTTCTGAGGGTGATTCACGTCTCCATCCAGCATTCTGGGTCTTAGGATCTAACTTTTCCAGTTTTCATTCCAGTTTACAAAATCATTTTTTGACATTGTCATTAGTTTTCTGTGGTCGTACGAATTTATACTTTAATCCTTTCAGTATTGTTTTTGTGAGGTTCCATTTTCAAGAGGGAGAATTTGTGTTGAATTGACTTGTTCTGTAACTAAAAGTAAATTTTATTTTTGATGGAGTTTTACCTCGAGTCATTCACTTTGAATCTGGAATCAGTAATGTTAGGAAGAATGTTTAAATTTTTAAATAAATGTGTTAATTTTTCTAGCATGAGGCAATGGGCAGGATTGAATGATTTCTAGTCAAAGCCTGAATTTCTGGATCAAATGAGATGATGATTTAAGTTTAACCTCAACATTTTTTTATAAATCAGATAATTAATTAATCCTTACCATAGTAATGCACATTATTTTAATATTGGGATGTGCAATTAAAATATATAGATACACTGAAAATTCCTGAATTACAGAATTTAGATAATGAAGCTTCATTTTGTTCCTTATATTCTGATTGCATTTAAAAAGGACTCTTAAGTCTTTCTATTGTAATTTTTATTTTGAATCAAAGTATAATATTAACTTTACTTAATAGTTCCCTAATTCTTAAAGAACTTGAGCAGATGAGGAATTTGTAATACATACTTAATTATAATAATTAATCATCTAAACTTGTGGATAATTTTAGAGGAAATGAGTACCAGTTCAGTTTTCCTGTTCCTTTAGAGAATACATGTGTATCCAGCCTTCAGAGTAAAAAATGTATGTACTGTGTCTACCTTTACAGAGCTGACTGATAGAGGGAAATGTAAGGAAAGAATGTATCTGAGGCACAGATGGTGCTGATACCATTACAAACTTTTACGTGTGTGTGTGAATGAACAAATGAACTGGTAACTTCTGCCTGACTCCCTTGAGTAAAGTAAAATTCTTAACACATGTTAATTTTTATATCAAAAACATGTTTTTAGATAATTTACAGTATTTCATGAATTGCAAAACATACCAGGTTATTTTGAAATAAAATTACATTTGGGTTGAGTACAATGTCACAGTTTTTTGGTTTTTTAAACATAGGACTGGATCCTAGGAACTTGTGATTGAATTTAATTTAAATATTTGGAATTTAATATAGGTTTTTGTCTATACTTTATATAAGATTTATAATACATCTTATATTAACAATGTTTGATAACTTTATCATAAGGCTATGCCACTTAATAACTTCTGTTATACATTTAATTGTGGTTATTTTGCACTCATATCCCCCCTCCCCTTTTATAGTGCTTTTTTAGGACCAAAGGATATATTTCCTTACTCCGAAAATAAGGAAAAGTATGGCAAGCCAAATAAACGAAAAGGTTTTAATGAAGGTTTATGGGAAATAGATAACAATCCAAAAGTGAAATTTTCAAGTCAGCAGGTGAGTCATAATACATAAAATGTAGTTTAGATTATTTATTCAATCTTGGGAATAATCACTATCCTAGCATTTATGCATGACACTAAATTTTCATGGAGTCATTTGCCTTTGCACAGTGTGTATAATTTTTTTTATCATACAACAGAAATTACCCTGTTTCTGTTTGTTCTCTGTCCTGGCATTTGATGGTATTTAAAATTTTTTCTATATTGTCAGTTGTACTCTTGAACAGTGTATACATTTCTGTATGGATGTCCCAGAACTCTTGAATTTAAAATAATGACACCGGCCAGTTTTATAATAGGACCTATGTTCTTGTTGGAGCCCTGGTGACACAGTGATTAAGCACTCAAGTTGCTAACCAAAAGGTCTGCAGTGAGAAATCACCAGGTGCTCTGCAGGAGAAACACTAAAGATTTACAGCCTTGGAAACCCTATGAAGCAGTTCTGCTCTGTCCTGTAGCATCTGAATGAGTCAGAATCAACTTGACAGCAGTGGGTTTGTTCTATCTGTTACCACCACCTAACTGTAAGAGGAGGTCTTCATGGGAATGTTATTGAGAGTTTCTCATTCTTAAATAATAGTCCTCTTAGACTTGTAGAAAACCTGGAAAGAACATGATGAAATCTATAGAAGACAGTGGGAACAAAGTAGAAATTATGCAGTTTTTCTACTCTTAAACTGTCAACCTTTTATTTCTTTGAAGGTGCCATGCTTCTTCTTACCTTTGAAAATGTCAGATGCTGTTCAATCAGGTTGTTTAATCTTCCTTTCATTGATGGTCCGTGACTATATTAGGTGGTCTTAGTGCCTTCATTGCTTATTTATTGTAATAGTTACCATACTTTGTAATTACTACTTTACTTGTCTGTAACTGCCACAGACTATGATCTCCATCAGCAAAGAAGTTGTCCTGTGTGCCTAGTTAGCTGCATGGGAAGAATAAGTATTCCCAAATATTGTTGAATGAATATAAGAATGGACAAATGGTTTCTTGATAGTCTTGCCTTGATTATAATGGGTGAACATTATTCCAGAGACACTGAATTATTTCCTGGAATTGTTGTAATTTCACTTCCATTATGTGTTCTGTGACTGCCTTTTCATGGTTCTTTTTTTTTCATCCTTTCTTGCTACCACTTGTTCTCCAGGTAGTTTCCATTATCTGCACTTGTAATTTTCCGTTTCACAGTGAAACTTCTGGTAGGTTGCATGGGTGAAACCCAACAGTTTTCTGTTTTTCACAGAAATATGAATGACCATGTTGGTTTGATGTAGGTTTGTTCTCCAGTCCCAGACACCTCCCAATGGCACAGTCCTAGGGTTGGGGAATGATGCAGTGATGTACAAATTTATACAAAATAAAACTGTTTAACCATCATGATATTTAAACATTTCTGTAATGCTCAGAATAATTTTCTAGGTGTTTTTACATTATTATACCTTAATAATAATTTGGTGGATTATTAGTGCTGCTTTTTTCTTTTTACAAAAGAAGAAAAGGATTTAGAATTTAAAAGACTTGCCAAGGGAAACAACAGCTATAAAGGGGCACAGTTGGGATTAGAACTCTATATTGTCCGAGATTTGTGCTTTGCCTCTTCCCCATTATATACTGTGTTGTTTATGTAAATCTTTTTGCTCATTATTATGACAGTCTAGAGTCCCTAGAACACCTGCTTAAATATCATATACTTGAGGGTTTTTTTTATTACTATTTTTTTTTTTAATTTGGTGATAATTAC